CATTAAAAAGTTTGTCTCAGTAAGTAGGTATGTCAATAAAAAGTCTAAATTTAGAACTGTTTAGGTAAGTAGGTCTCAGTAAGTAGGCCTTATTTGAGGGTTCGAATCCGTTATCTGAGACCTACTTACTGAGACAAATAAGGCATATTAAAAAGTTTATCTATCATGTACCGGGTTCGAATCTAGACCCAGACCCGATTCGAATCCGCACTTTATTTGAGGGTATAAGTCTATTAGAACCGTTTCCCGGATCTGGATCCGAACTCGTTACATGATAGAGAAAATGGGTCGGATATGGATTTTTAAGTTCAGGCTCGTTTTGGACCCGACCCGTGATGATATAATTGTAGTTATAATAATTTACACATACACACAATATACATTTTTTTTTTAAAAATGTTTTAATATTTATAGGCTTAGTTAGTGGTTCGCCCACTATAATGAGATTTGCGCTAATGAGTTACTGCTCTAGGTTCTGTATGAGTTATTTGCGGGTATACCCGGCCCGGATCTGAGACCAGCTGGATCCAAATCTGGAACATATGTTAGGATCCGAAGGGTAAATGGGTCCGACCCGTTGACAAACCTACTTACTGAGACAAACTTTTTAATGCATACTTTGAATCAACACAATTATTTAAATGACATTTTTTATGTGCTTGGATTCACTTGGATTAAGAAGATTTTTACCGAATTTGACACAAATTGAAACATATTTTTGGTTGCAGCTTCGGCACAAATTGTCACGGATTTGACACGAAGTCACGGATCTCTGACAAATTTGTGCCAAAATCCCAACCAAACACATTTGGGCATGAATACATAGTCCCCATAAATCCGTGACAAAGGTCTGTTCCAAATCCACCATGATAAGTTTGTTGGTTTCTCCGGGTTTTCTTTCAATTTGGTTAAATTGAAAGTCATTTACAAAAGAATGACTACTTGAATGTGTAAATAAAATTGACTAACAAGATAATAGATTTGAAAAAAATACGATATTGTTATTAGATTTTTGAGTCATGTTCAGATTTTTATGTTAGTGACAGTTACATCAGTAGTCACTGCCACTGTTTAACATGTCACTATGACCGCCGAAATACTTATGACTTCTTCCAGTGAATTTATAAAAACAGAAAAGACAAACGGATACCATCAAAATTTTCGAACTGTGGTTTATGACATCGGCTTTCAATGAAAGTTTCTAGCGGCGAAGGCTAGATAAGGTGTAGGCTGGGTAGATTGAATATGAATTACAATGAGAAAATAGTTGAATTAATTAAATAAAGGGTTAGTCATATTTCTTTTTTTAAAAAAGAAAAACTAATGTCTTTTTTGTGTTTCAAAGAACTACCCGTACCAGTAATATTTATGTCCTATTTCTTATATTTGCAACTATATATTTCATATATTAAAACAAGAATACAACCAAATCATATAACGGCTTATATTTTACTTTTAAATATAGACATGTTTCCACACAACACTTGTCAAACACGAAATATAATTGATTTGGCAGTTTTCGAAAAGTATAGGATATTTCTTTAACTTTTTAGAGAACCTCCTAACAATCTCGCATGTAATAGTCATTTATGAAAAAGAACATTACTTTATATTGAGAAAACGCTCTTGCGCCTTGCGCGATCAAACGCTAGTTCCCTAAATAAGAATTAATAAGTTGTTCAACCATTTCTTTTTTACCTATCTCTGAACTAGACTGATCTGGTAAACATTTAATTTCTGTGTATTTTATAATTGTCCAAGTCTGCTCTGGTCTGATCTGGAACTGAAAATAGTCCAATTAAAAACATCCTTACTCACGATCGGCCCTAGGTGGAGGGCAATTGGGCAATCGCCCTAGGCCTGAAAAAATAGAAAGAACATTAGGCCCACAATTTTTTCTTTATATGTTACGTCAGTAGGCTTTTTTATATATAAACTCAATTAATTAATAAGGCCTAATGTTTAATTTTTGTTGACAATTTCGAAATTTTAAAACATAAGTAAGAAGTCTTGATCGGATCCGCTAGCTTAGACATGTTTAAAAAAGAATAAACATTTGATTTTGATGTTTGATCGAGTAGAGCTAGTATGTATATATATATATATATATATATATATATATATATATATATATATATATATATATATGGCATAATGGAGGGAGAAAACATGAATTGGGGATTGTAATACATGATAAAAAATAGTTTTTTAAAGTATTCTCTTTGAAGTAGTTTTATAAGACTCTAACATTTAAATTCAATATTTCAATGTCTGTTACAAACAATACTGATTATTATTACGTAGCAAATTGTAATGGATGGTGTTGACCAGGGGCGGAGATAAGGGAGGGTCAGGGTGGTTAGCCGACCCCGCTGAAAACGTAAGAGTATAGAGCTCTGGAATATCTTCGATTCGGTTTATTATGGCCCCGGTAACTCATTACCAGTAAAAAATTTTGAATTCTGGAAAATCAGCATTATATAAACGTAAAATCAGCCAAATTTGATGCATACTATGGATTATTTTTCCAAATTTTAAAAATAGGGTATAGTTCACTCACACGACACAGAAATAGAGCAAGACAGTCTATCTTATTGCTACAAGTACCTAATTATCTAAACTGCATATGAAATATTTAAGTCGGACATTGTTTAAAAACGATTCACTATTTTCATTCCGTATATAGGCTGAATTTCTGCCCCCAGACCCGTTTTTCTGGCTCCAGCATTTACCGTTGTTTACTTTGAACTAGTATTTCACTCGTGCGTTGCACGGGATGTAATATGCACCTATTATACAGAGTAATAGTTAATTACAAAGCATATATAAATGATATTATTTATTACACGAATAGAGAAATGGTAAATAGGAAATTTATAAATATAGTTAGGATTCTTAATAGGAAATACAAACTGCTCCAAAAGAAATACATAAATTAAGGGAAAGCTTCAAGCTAAAAACTTATGTGAGGAGTACTTTAATAATCCACCAATAGAAAATGTCACTCCCCAAGACAAAGCAAAAGTTTGATCAATGTAATACCAATTCATGTACATCTAACTCCATGTGCAGCAAAAACTTGCTAAGAATTGCTACCAGTTGAATATCCCGGCCTATCAGCTCAACTCAATGCCAAATATTTGGCCAGCCACAACACCCAATTATTCATCTGCAATAACCCGTGAAAAGACAGCTCAATCTCCCAACAAATTAAAATGTCATAAATAAAAAGTCGGACGAAGATCTCCAAAACGAAATACAAACAGCTCCCAAAGAAATTAGAAGCTGAAACTCCTAATAAGCACACTCCACACATGCCCAGCGAGACAAACTACCAAGCAAGTCAACAATCCAAAGGAACCAAGCAAACACAATTGTTTTTGTTTCAGTTTACCCAAGTGACACAAATTTTATTTTAACCAAGTTGTAAGAAATAGAAGTAAGATTACACAATAAAATAATAAAAATGCGTATCAATAAGCAGTGAGCTTTCATACAGTTTATCACACAGCCAAATAGGACCTCAACACATAGGCCTAAACCCATAGCTCATTTAATCACGTAACATGCAGTCATATTGCTTCATAATACAAACATTTTACTCTATAGGGAATGTTGAGTTGATCACCAATGATCTTTTGTTGGCCATATCAAAGAAAGCTTCGCTAGCTAAGAAAGAAAAGGATCTTCTCAGACAGTTCATTTCCAAATCACATAAGTTGCCGGCATCATGCACTCATTTGTTGGCTTTGCTTTTCTGAATGGAGGATGAATTCTTCAATGTATAACATAGAATTCAAATAGAACTTCATTTGCAGATAGAATTGAGAAAAATAGATAGTAGCAGGACATAAACTACCTTTCTATATTAGGTGCTACCTCCGTCCCTTACAACTTTGTCAAGTTTGACCGGCACGGAGAATAATAAAATAAAAACTGTGTGGTTGAAATTTGTACAGTGAAGAAAGAAATAACAGGAACCACAAACTATTGATTAAAAGGGAAAGTGACGAAGTTTTTTGGGACGTCCAAAAAAGGAAAGATGACAAAGTTTTAAGGGACAGAGGAAGTATTTAACTATTCTTAGAAATATATATATATATATATATATATATATATATATATATATATATATATATAGGGTAGGCCTAAGAATTACAATTCTTAGGCCTCTTTTATTTGAGGTGCTTCCGGGTTGAATTTTTTGATGAAATTTTGTAAGCATGTTCTCCATGGATTGAAGATTACGTCCACCAAGTTTCACAATAAAATTCAATCTGGAAGTCATTTAAATAAATTATTTATAAAAAATTGCATTTTATATATGTAAAACCCTGCACAATTTTGAAAAAATTATTTAACCGTCTTCCCGATTGAATTTTAATCTGAAATTTGGTGGGCATAGTCAACACTTCATGGAGAACATGCTCACAAAATTTCATCAAAAAATATGACCGGGAAGCACCTCAAATGAAAGAGGCCTAAGAATTTCAATTCTTAGGCCTACCTTACTTGAACATTTTCCTATATATATATATATATATATACATAATTATGCCTTATATGAACTAATAGCAATACCAGCCGGCAAGAAGCCACTTACGACTGCGAGAGAAGATACACGTCAACTTGAGCTACAATTAATTCTCATCATGACCTAGATTACAAAATTGGCTGCAAACGGTTCCAAAAAGATAAGGAACATCTAAGCATAACCAATTGATGGAAATGGAACAAATAATATAAAAACTAAGTTATTAGTTGAAAATTTTAAGCGAGTCATTGTTTTATTATGGAATGAAATGGATTAAAAAAAGATAATGAATATGTATATGACAGCAGATAATTTTGTAGCAATGTTTCAGTCAAGTACAATGCCTTAATCTTCCCCATTAATTTTGACCTACCAGGTATGTTAGGCTATAATGTGATCATCGAGATTAAGCAAAGCCACACAAAGTGGAAACAAACTCAAAACCATTTTAATCTAGCAGTCCAGAAACTCAGAAAGTATCTTGTTTCTCTTTATTACTCCTTGTACCATATCATAAGGGACAACCGCACTATCGATAAAATAACATAAACCGAGAAACGTATACGTAGTTCCTTGTGTGCTTACAAAGAAAGTAAAGATAAGCTTTTGATATTCTGATATCAATTCAAAAATGAGTTTACAAAGAAAAGCGTAATATATATATATAAATAACATGTGTAAACACAGCATTTTAACTCCAAAAGTTGTTCAAGACTTCAAGAGACATCGGAGACCATTTATCCTCAAACTGCCTTTGTTCCAGCACTCTGAGATAACTTATAAGCTCTCTTAAACTTGGCTGTATCACTTCCAAACCTTCAGCTGCCTGGTTCATCATACCCAGAGCAACATTGATCCTATCCCGTATATGTTTATTCGCAAAAAACTTCAGGAGGTCAGATTTCCTTCCAGCCTAAAAACCATTTGGTAACTTCTTCAAATTAAAGTTTGGGTTTAAACACAACCAATGGTACAGAACTTCTAGCCACTTGTTGAAGAAGATGCCAAAACGCTGAACCATGTGATGGATTGGAACATCAATAGCCCAAGTCTGTACCTAGTAAAACTGAACCAAAAAAGAACACTTTTAAGGTACTTTCAAAACATTAAAACACAGATTTATAGGAATTAAGGAATTATATTGAAATGATTATAAACTTCTACGGAGTTTTCTAGACATTCTCATTTCTATATTGACACTTCTCAGCTTGAAGAGTAACAGTTGAAATGAAATTAAGAAACAAATGAAAGAGTCAAAATATTTTTTTTGTCTGAGACTACTTAGATCAGAAACGACCCAGCAGCAATGAAAAATTTAAGATTAATAAAACAAAGTCACCAAGAAGCACATTATGATAGGAAAATATTTAATTAAATATCAAACAATTAGTAAAATATCTAGTGTTCAATAAAATGCTGTGGTGAAGAAAAGTTCAAAAATCTCTAAATCTGACTTCCAATGTAGAAAAATCTTCTTAAAAAGTTAAAAGTGTTATTTCGTTGGAACAATTTACTCCTAACAAAATACTAAGCTTATTACAGTTTTGATGTTTATCTAAAATCAGTTTCATCAAAATGAGATATATCTGACTAAAAAATCGTACCAAAAACTCAATTACATCACAACTTAGTTTCATAAAAATAAAAAACAGCTCTTTTTTAGTAAAACTATACTTACCCGAGTTACACATCTAATCTCAACTTTATCAGTTTCTAGAAGTCTTACGCTGATTTCATTAGAGAGTTTATACATTTAGTAATTGTTTATTCATGGATTTTTGTATAGTAGAGTTAGTCTATATTTATGTTCTGTCATTAAAAGAGAAGTTCCACCAACACTTTGATATAACTACGACATAGCTCCTACTATTAGTTCCTACTACTGCACTTATGTGAAATGTGAAAAATCTTCACCCAATGGTTACAATATGACTATTCATGATCTGTTTGTCTTTAATTTTTGAAAATCGATTTTTTGCCCTAGGGGTGTGTGTACCTTCAACAGAAATCACAAAAGTGAACCTTAGACTTCCAAAAAACTACATTCAGAGTGTATGTAAGTATGTGAATAAATTTGAAATCAAGACTATTAGTCTGCTGCCATTAGTATTAACTAATAGAAATATAAAATGGTCCCATATTATGAGAATTACCTTGTTATTATTAGTAACAATATTATTGATTTATTCACAAGTACAAATCAAAATCATGTATCTGGATGGTTTTTTTATCTTACGGAAGGGGGGCAAGTGAACAATTAATTAATCACTTAGGGGGGTGTCCTCAATTAGGATTCCGTAGGATTTTAATGGATTGTTAAAATTCAGCTGTCCTCAACTTGGATTGTGATGGAATCCGTCAAAATCCGGGTGTCCTCAAAATGTCCATAGATTTTTTAACTCTTGGATTTCTATGGATTTTAAGGCTAGAATGCAAAGGGGAGAATACATCCCAAAATCTTACCATTGCCTCCCAGATTTCGATGGATTTGCAAACAAGAAGGAACGGATGAGGTCTGCATCACCACCACCTGGTCGATTTTGTCCGTCTGGGTCATTTGCTTCTTCTCCAGTGTTCACTGTTCGTGGTCTGCCGGTTTCCCCGGTGTTATCCTTCCGGCTTTGGTCTTGGTCTGGAAGAAGGTTCTCTGTTTTTGTTGGTGTTGCGGATCTGATTCTTTCCGGCGATAGGCGCACGCTTAACAGGTTTTCCGGCTGATGTTTTGAACTCTTCTCCAGCAAGGTGGGCTGGCCGTAAGAGGGGAGGATGGTTTCTGAATGTACTGCTTTCATTTGGTTCTGGAGACTTTGGGCTACAGTTTCGTAAGGAGGGTTGGAAAAATCACACAAAATCCTTTAAATTTCATTCCATGAAATTCCAGTACAATACCATAGATTCTACGGAATTCCATTCAACTCCACTGAAATCTCAATCATTTAAAATCTATTAAAATCCCAAACGAGGACACCCCCCTTAAAATGTGTGGTAAATCTTTGTGTGTACTGTGTGCTGGTATGGTAGGATATATGTTTAAGTGAGATGAGAAAATAGAAATTATCAGGCCAAAAAGTGAAAACTAATTCTATATAGATAGAAGGTTAAAATTAACTCACATTAACTGAGCTATTGAAACTCACATACTTGACTGCAAACATAAAAAAGGGTAAGAACTCACTTAAGGCACCCTCTTACCTTACAGATTTCCTTTGTTTCCAGCAAGAGACACAAAGTGTTTTTGGATTCCCTGCAAGATTCAGAAATGACCTGTAGCATTTTTTTGTATATAATCATCGTTGGATAGAAAGTCTTAGCATTAAAGTTACTAATGTAGAGGATAGTTATACAAATAAGTAATTGTGGTATAAAGCTAAAATGATTTCATACTCCCTATCATAGTTACGACTTATGATGGTGTTTTTTTTCAACAAACAAAAGAAACTCACTCTTTCTGCAAGACTATGGCTATCAGTACGTAGCTTGCCCCCCTCTTGCTCTAACATGAATATAGTCCTTTGATTTCTCAGAAAGCTTCTGATTTGGCTCACCATTTCCCAAAAATTTTAAAGAGCCACACATGACTCCTTCCATGGAGTCATATACCCTATGTGGCATCACCAACAGATTCATCACAATACATTTTTTAGTGGAGAACCCCACTAAAAAATGTGTGGTGATGGTGACGCCCACCTAAGCCATATGACTCCATAGGGAAGTCATATATGACTCCTTAAAACCTCTCCACCATTTCCTACATTATCTTTACTCTTCTGACTATTATTCCCATTCAGTTCAACTGCTGCTTGAACACCATATTATCATTCTAGCCACTCCTAGACACCTCTGTTTCTTTAGATGGTTTTGCATTTGAATAACCGCTTGGACCCCTTCAATTCGCTGCAATGTTTAAGGATAAATAACCACATTGAATAAGTATTAAAACATAAATAATACTCCATATAATGATACAAAATAGCATGTAATGCTATATTGCTATGTATACTTGATCAGTCTGAACCAAAAGGATTGTACAAGAGAGTGATCAATGAAATATTCAAGAAAACGTATGAATATGTAATCAGGCAGATACTACTTACTGCCTTGCCATCTTCCTCGGATTTTCTCCCTGAGCTAGTTTTTCTTTTCCTGGGATTAATTTTGGCCGAGCTGCTCGGAGGCTGATCAGAGACAGACTGTTCTACATTGGGAATTGGGATGGTTGCCAGAGTTCATAAAGAATCCAGGCTCGGATTTAAAAGAAAACTACATTTAAATATTTAATAAAAATAGAGAACATACCTTGGAGCTAAAGATGGCTTCGTACTATAAGTTCAAATTCACCATTCGAACATATACTATGAAGTCTTATAAACTGGTACATGACTGTACCTGCGTGTTTTACCTACATATTTAGAAGATCTTTTCTACTTCAACAAAAGCTATTGATAGCTGAAAACTAATTTATAGAAACACCTTAACTTCTATACTCCAAAGATCAACAAAGAAATATTAATTTTTAGATATGAGACTAACGGTGCAAAGGAAATAAGTTGAAGAATGTTAGAGACTCAATGCAGCCGAACAAGGAAGACAAATATTATGGAAGAGTCTATTCTAGAAGGAGGGAGAGGGGTAGTTATTAGTTATGTTCTGTTATTAGCTAATAACCGTAAGTGGTTGTTCACTTACTATAAATAGAATTGACTGGGGGATTTCCCAGTAGGCTGTTAGACTGTTTAGTCAGAACTGGGAAGATAGAGTTTTAGCTCTATACTTTGGGGGCTTCGGCCATTGTAGCTATATACATTCTCAATAAAACTGTGGAGTTCTTGTAATCTTGTTGGTGTTATTGCTGTGCATCTCTAGTGTTTCTTACAGTGGTATCAGAGCACGACGATCTCTGGATGAGATATACTCGTGCTAAGATGGACGGAAGAATGACAGACATGGAGAGAAACTTTACTGATATGGCCAGGAATCAGAGAGAATCAGCGGCAAGGCAAGATACACTGGAGACGATGATGGTAGCTATGCAGGCGAGTCTCGCGGATATCCAAAGTCGCCTTCCAGGTCGTGCGCGAAGTAGGTCGCAGGCCTCCTCAGCTTCGCATCGCACTTCTCACCGTCATCGATCACGCCATTCAGAGAATGATGACGTATCGGAGGGAGACTCAGATCATTCATCACACCGTAATCACAGACATCACAGGGAACACCATCCTCGTCGCCGAACAGGAAGGAAGATCGATTTGCCATTGTTTAATGGAGATGATGCCTACGGTTGGTTGGTTAGAATCGACAGATATTTTCGTCTCAATCAGATTGAGGAAGACGAGAAGTTGGATGTTGCGGTGGTTGCTATGGAAGACCGCGCACTGAGTTGGTTTCAGTGGTGGGAGAATCAGACGAGAGAAAGGAATTGGGACGCTATGCAGGAAGCTCTAACGCGAAGATTCCAACCAGAGTTGGTACGTAATCCGTTGGGACCTCTATTAGGTCTAAAGCAAAAGGGAACTGTGAAGGAGTTCCGAGAACAATTTGAGATGGCTATAGCATCTCAAGGCGATCTAAGCGAGAAGGTTACAAGAGGTATTTTCTTAAATGGCTTGAAGAAGGACATTAGAGCTGAATTGAAGCTTTACAGTACAAGAGATTTGGCAGAAATCATGGATACAGCTCTATTGATTGAGAATAAGAATTTTGAAATACTGTCTAGGAGAAATAAGGAAGAAGGGAAGAAGGTGTGGAAGAGCAGCAACGCTGGGAAACAAGGTTACAATCATTGGGGAGATGGCAGTAGAAAAACTTACAACCAGGCCTCTACCAATCCATCAGTGAAGGATTCAGTTGATAATAGGAGGCAGGAGGAGGGATCTAATTCTATTTCTAAGAAATTAGGTCCTAGATTGTCACAGAATGAGTTGTTGGAAAGGAGTAAAAAGGGACTTTGTTTTAAATGTGGGGACAGATGGAACCGAGGCCATGTTTGCAGTATGAAAAGCTTTAAAATGATGTTGGTTGAACAATCTGAAGGGGAAGTAGAATCTGACATGACTTCTAGTGATGAAGGAGAGGATGAAGAAACAAAAATGGAAGCTAAAACACTGAAATTATCTGTCCTGAGTCAGGAAGGGATCCCATCCATGAAAACTTTCAAGGTTCTGGGTAACATCAGATGGGGAAATCATCAGCAACAAGTGAATATTCTGATTGATTGTGGGGCTACTCACAATTTCATCTCTCAAAGATTGGTGAACACATGGCAGATACCTTATAGGTGTATTAAAGGCTACAAGGTGCAGATAGGGAATGGGGAATTTCTTCCCAACAATGGCAGATGTGAAGAGGTAGCTTTGGAGATACAAGGCAACCAGATTGTACAGCAATTCTACATTTTGGACTTGGGTGGAATAGATTTGGTGTTGGGAATGGAGTGGTTAACAGATCTTGGGGATATGGAAGTCAACTTCCAGAATCAAATTCTTAAATGGAGAAGACAGGACCAGGTGTATACTATCAAGGGAGATATAGCCCTGAATCAGATGGAAGTTTCATTGAAGTCTATCACTCACATTTTGCAGAATACAGGAGATGGCTACTTGTTGCTTTGTGAAGGTAAAGAGCAGAATTCTCAGTCCAATCTAGAGGAGGATGAAACCTGGAACAATATAATTGGTGAGTTTCCTGAAGTCTTCAAATCAGTGTGGGATTTACCTCCAGAAAGACCATGTGACCATGCCATAAATATTATAGAGGGAGCCAGTATACCTAATCTGCGGCCATACAGGTATACTTATGATCAAAAAAATGAAATTGAAAAGATTATACAAGAAATGCTTTCTTCTGGGATTATCAAACACAGTAACAGCCCTTACAGCAGCCCCATACTATTGGCCAAGAAAAAAGATGGTGGGTGGAGATTTTGTGGTGATTATCGAGCATTAAATAAGGTGACTATTCCAGATAAGTTTCCTATACCAGTTATAGAAGAACTTTTAGATGAGTTAGGAGGAGCTAAAGTGTTCTCAAAACTGGATTTGAAATCAGGATATCATCAGATAAGAATGAAGAAAACTGATGCCCATAAAACAGCCTTTCGAACACATGAGGGACATTATGAGTATGTTGTAATGCCTTTTGGGCTAACGAATGCTCCCTCAACTTTTCAAGCATTGATGAATGAAGTTCTTAGACCTTTCTTAAGAAAATTTACTTTAGTTTTCTTTGATGACATTTTGGTTTATAGTAAATCAAAAGAGGATCATATAGAGCATCTAAGAAAAGTGTTGACAGCCTTACAAGAAAATAAATTGGTAGCCAATCGGAAGAAATGTTCTTTTGGCCAGAGTCAATTGTCATATTTGGGTCATATAATTTCTGGAGAAGGAGTATCTGCTGACCCAAGTAAGATAGAGGCTATGGTGAGCTGGACAGAACCTCAAGATATCAAAGGGTTGAGAGGATTTCTGGGTTTGACTGGTTATTATAGACGGTTTGTAAAGGGGTATAGCAGAATTGCAGCTCCTTTGACCAATCTGTTGAAGAAGGATAGTTACAAGTGGGGAACTGAGGCTAGCAAAGCTTTTATCCAGTTAAAAGAAGCTATGACTACATTACCTGTTCTTGCAACTCCAGATTTTACCAAGAAGTTCATCATTGAAACTGATGCTTCAGGAAAAGGGTTAGGGGCTGTACTCATGCAAGAAGGAAGGCCCATTGCCTTCATGAGTAAGGAACTTTCTCCTAAGCATCACAGTAAATCCGTGTATGAAAAAGAGCTTATGGCTGTGGTTTTGGCTGTACAAAAATGGAGACCCTACCTTTTGGGAAGAACATTTGAAGTGCATTCAGATCAGAGAAGCTTAAAATACTTGACTGAGCAGAAGATTATGGGACCTGAGCAACAGAAATGGATCACTAAGCTATTGGGGTACAATTTTGATATCAAATACAAACCTGGTGCGGAAAATAAAGCAGCTGATGCTCTGTCTAGAAAGCCTGCTTTTTTATCATTATCAGTAGTATCATGTCAGGAGTGGACTGGTTTGGAAGAAGAACTGTTGGAGGATTTAAGATGTAAGGAAATTCTACAGAAGCTTACATCTCAGCCAGATTTGATGAAGGATTATCAGATAAAAGGAGGGATCCTCTTTTATAAAGGGAAGCTGGTTTTGCCTAAAGGGTCTAACAGAATACCCAGAATCCTCAAGGAATACCATGAAACTGCCTTTGGAGGACACTCAGGGTATTTTAGAACTATGAAAAGGATCTCCAGTCTATTCTATTGGGCAGGTATGAGAAATGACATAAAAGACTATGTGCAGGGGTGTGATACTTGCCAAAGAAACAAACATCAAACATTGAAACCTGCAGGTTTGCTGCATCCCCTACCCATTCCAGAACATATATGGTCGGATATTAGTATGGATTTTATTGGGGGCTTACCTAAATCCATGGGGAAGGATACCATTTTGGTAGTGGTTGATAGGATGACAAAATTTGCACATTTCTTGCCTTTAACTCATCCTTATAATGCAAAAGGGGTTGCTGAAATCTTTATACAGGAGGTGGTAAAGATACATGGATTCCCTAAATCCATTGTGAGTGACCGGGATAGTCTATTCTTATCTGCCTTTTGGTCTGAATTGTTTAAATCAGCTGGTACTACACTGAAGTATAGCACTGCTTACCACCCTCAAAGTGATGGGCAAACGGAGGTGGTCAATAAGTGTTTGGAGACCTATCTAAGATGTATGACTGGCAGAAAACCAAGACAGTGGGTGAAGTGGTTACCTTGGGCAGAATTCTGGTATAACACTAACTATCATATATCCTTGAAACACACACCATATCAAGCCTTATTTGGTCAAGAACCTCCCACAATAATCAGAGGAGATGTGAGTCTGACTTCTGTGGCTGAGGTATCCAGACTGACTGCAGAAAGGAATGTTATGTTAAAGGAATTGAAGGATCATTTGGCCCAAGCACAAAATAGAATGAAGCAACAGGCAGACAAAAATAGAAGGGAATTGGAGTTAAAAGTGGGGGATAAGGTCTTTTTGAAGATACAACCTTATAAAATGAAAAGTTTGGCCAAAAGGATTAACCAGAAATTAAGCCCCAGATTTTATGGCCCCTATGAGATCATAGAGAAAATAAATGCTGTAGCCTTTAAACTAAAACTGCCAGAAGAAAGCCAGATTCACCCAGTCTTTCACATCTCTTTACTGAAGAAAGTATTACATCCTACAGCTTCCTACCAGGATCTTCCCAAATGTTTAACTGAAGAAGGAGAATTGATGGTGGTCCCTGAGAGGGTGAAGGAAGTCAGGTTCAATCAGAATGGGGAAAAGGAGGTCTTGGTGCACTGGAAAGACCTCCCTGAATATGAAGATTCTTGGGAAAAAGAGCAGGTGATCAGAGAACAATTTCCTACCTTCCAACTTGAGGGCAAGTTGGATTTTCAAAGGGGGAGTTATGTTAGAGACTCAATGCAGCCGAACAAGGAAGACAAATATTATGGAAGAGTCTATTCTAGAAGGAGGGAGAGGGGTAGTTATTAGTTATGTTCTGTTATTAGCTAATAACCGTAAGTGGTTGTTCACTTACTATAAATAGAATTGACTGGGGGATTTCCCAGTAGGCTGTTAGACTGTTTAGTCAGAACTGGGAAGATAGAGTTTTAGCTCTATACTTTGGGGGCTTCGGCCATTGTAGCTATATACATTCTCAATAAAACTGTGGAGTTCTTGTAATCTTGTTGGTGTTATTGCTGTGCATCTCTAGTGTTTCTTACAAAGAAGCTGCGGGATGTACCTTCAAATCAGAATCCCCTGGCCAAACCCGAAGAAACGTTATCTGTCTTCTTCTTCCAGAAGTCCGCATGCCATATACATCTTTCACAGTTGCACTTAACAGCAACTCATCATCCCTTCTTCCACCCAACTACACCCAGGAGTCTTTTTCAACCCAGTGAAATGCATCCTACCTCTTGCTTTCCCCGAATCAACCCACCTGCCTGATTGTGAGTATATGTTCGACAGCTCCACATAATGAGCCGGATTTCCTGCTTCAAGATTCATGAGATTCTTTAATGCCACCTCGGCTAACTCAACGTTAAAATGCATTCTAGCTGAACCAAGCAGCGCTCCCCAAACAGCACCATCGGGTTCCATAGGCATTTTGTTGTTAATCAAATCCATGGTCTCATCAAATAACCCGGCACGGCCCAGCAAGTCTACCATGCACGCGTAGTGCTGCACACATGGGCTGAGTTGGTATTTCTTCTGCATAACGTTCCAGAACATGTTCTTGCCTTCCTCTACCATGCCTGCGTGCCTGCACGCAGACAATATACTAATGAAGGAAAGAGAATCGATCTGTATCTCATTCTCCTCTTCCATGCACGCGAAGACCGAGAGAGCTAATTCGGCGCTTCCGTTCACGGAACACGCGGCAAGCATCACGTTCCAAGAAACTGTGTCCCGATTCTTCATCTCGTTGAATAACAGGACAGACATGTCGAGTTGCCCACATTTTCCGTACATGTCGATCATGCTATTTATGATAAGGGTATTGGATAAAAACCCTTTCTTGATAATGTACGTGTGTATCCCCATTCCTTCTTTTAGCAATGTGAGAGACGAAACAGCTGGCAAGATGGTAGCAATGGTGACATTGTTAGGCTGGAAAGGCGATAGTCTCATCATGTCAGAGAAGGTAGATATTGCTTTCTTGGCACATTCATTCTGAACATACCCAGTAATCATGGTATTCCATGAGATTTCGTCTTTATGGAAAGAGGAATTGTTAAACAGGAATTCAGAAGATGGGAGTTCCCCACATTTGGAATAGAAGTCAATGAGAGCGTTCGCCACATGGCGGTCCGACCCATGCCCGTATTTGATAACTTGACTGTGGATGTAAGTTCCGTGATGGATGTCACCCAGAACAGTGCAAGCAGGGAGGACGCCCACCATGGTTCCAGGATCTGGTTGTAGCCTGGATATCCTCATCATCGAAAACATCTCAAGTGCATCGTGGGACCTACCGGCCTGTGAGTATCCATTTATCAAAGCGTTCCATGTCACCACCTCTTTATATGGCATCTTACTAAAGACACCAAGAGCATAAGGAAATAAAAGACACTTGGCATACATGGAAACCAAAGCAGTTCCGGTTGAAAGATCATAATCAGTATCTGTTTTAACTGCATAGCAATGAATGGATTTACCTGTTAATTTGGACATTAGTTCGCCGCAAGCGGGTAGAACGCTTACTAGGGTCACATTATTGGGAGGTAAGTTCTCATGTTGCATGTCTCGGAACACTGAGAGTGCTTCATTTGGATGTCCGGACTGGGCAAATGCCGATATGACCGCAGACCATGCAATTAAATCCCTTTCGTGTATCTCCCCAAACAATTCTTTAGTCTTCTCCAATTCTCCACACTTTGCATACATCGTCATAAGAGAAGTTGCAACCATAACGTCTGAATCCATCCTCTCTTGGATTATGTAATCATGAATCTCCTTACCTTTATCAAGATCCTGCACCTCACCCGCTCCTAATAGCGCACTTACAGCAGATACCTTGTTGATTTTCACATTTTCTGTTTGCATGTAACCAAACAAGTTTAGAACTTCATGAAAGTTTCCAGTATATGCATGACCAGAAAGTATTGTACCCCATGAAACATCATCTTTCACTCTCATCTGAATAAAAATTTGATGAGCTACACTGGAGTATCCGCATTTTGAGTATGTATCAATTAACCCATTATAGACAGAAATGGGACATTCCCTCCTATAAGCAAATGCATGGATGGGCTTGCAAATCTTCATATCCTTTAACTTGCAAATTGCTGGAAACAAGTTCAATAAGCTCACCGAATTAGGCTCAACTCTACAACTAAACTGCATGTACCTGAAAAGATCTAACGCATGGGAGTGCTCTGAACTATGAGAAAGCCCTGAAATCATTGCATTCCAAGCAACAACATCCTTTTTGGGCATTTCATCGAACACTTTCCTGGCAGTCTTTAAATCGCTCGTTTTGCAATAGAGTGTAACAAGTCCAGTTCCAATAAAAACATCACATTCAAGATTCCTCCTAGATATATCATTATGAATACGAAGTCCCCTTTCCAAATCCAGCATCTCAGTGCAAGCTTTCAGCGCAAATGTGAACGTATACTTGTCTGGCTGAAATCCCCTCTCCATCATTAAATCGAACAGCTGGATAGCTTCTGGATACTGGTTGGTTGTGTTGTATGCTCTGATCATCGAATTCCATAAAATCCCGGGAGCATTTTGCACAGAGTCGAAAATTAACCGCGACAAATCGCATCTTCCGAATGAAGCATAGAGGTTTATGAGGTGCGATTTGGTGCTGCAAGTGATCTCGAGGCCTGAGGTAATGAAGTGAGCATGAACTTGAAGGAGAGAATTGAGGTGTTTACAGGAAGCAAGAAGCGGGTGTTGGTGATCAGTTGATGGGCTGAAGAGAGAATGGAAGCTTCTCAGTAGTCTAAATCCATGTCTGCTGATCATCTTTATGGCAAAGGTGGTTTTAAATTTAATGGTCTACTGTCTACATTAGTTATGATCATCGTTAGAGAGAGAAAAGCCAGTCGGGTTGCCGCCAAGCCATTGAGGAGATGAAGAATAATACCTGTTGTTTACAGAAATGGCCAGTTAACCGGAATGTTTTTGGGTTGGAAAATTATCAATCCAAGTAGGGGTGGGAAAAACCGAACAGAAACCCGGAAACCGACCCTAGACCGACCCGAATTATGATCCCGGTCCGGGTTTTTTCTTTTTAACCGGCCCGAATTTAAAAAAACCGGACCGAACCGAAAATTCCGGGCTCATTAACGGGCCTTAAAATCTATAACCCGGCCCGGACCGAAAAAACCCGAAACAATTAGTTTTAATAAAAAATTAATATAGTATATGAATATAAATAAAATATTTCCTAATATATGATTATAATCACGGTGGATAAAAAAAGATTTATTTGGAGACTAATATTTGTGTTATTATTTGCGGTTTGTATTTTTGATTAATTTTATTTGAAAATAAGTGTTAAAATATAAAAGAACAATGACATATTTCATGGCCGGGCTTTAACCGGTCCAACCCGAACCCGGACCGAACCCGGGCTACCAAAAACCCGACTCGGACCGAATGTAATGGGCTTTGTTCCGGTCCCTAATTTTCATAACCCGAGACCTTCCGGGTAATTTCCGGGTTTAGCAAAAACCCGACCCGGACCGGACCGATCCCACCCCTAAATCCAAGACCTAAAAGTTGGAAAATTTATCAATTCCGGACCTGAAAGATTTTTTTTATCAATAAGGGACCTAAAAGATCATATTTCTATCACTATAGGACCTAAATATTTCACACCGTTATGTGGGAGTTAATGGAGTATGACTGTAAATATGCGGAATAAAAATAATGCCACGCCATTTAAGAACAAATCCACGTCTGACATACGTTCCCTGTTGAATTCACTTCATCTTCCAGAACCTTATCTATCTATCATTATTTTTCACTCACGCCTATCAAGCTCCTTCATCTTCACCTCCAGGTAAATTAACTAGGCTTTCAAGCGATTCACATCTGCCCTTACTCATCTCAACTTTATCTTCCTCCACCGACCATAAAAGGCAAGAAGGAAACGGTTACCAGAGCTCCCTTTTCGTGGAACCTTTGTTCTAGCTGAGGTTGATATTTAGTGCTCTGTAGGTTTTTGTTAATTTCTATGTCCAGTGATTTAGAGTTTCATGGAACCTGTGTAATAGCTTTAGGTTTAGAGTTGTAGAAAAGATCCAACTAGAGCTCAGAGTAAATGATCTTGTGGATTATTAATCACTGAGCAGAAAAAGGTCCTGCCGCCTGACACCTTCCGCTAGTTTGCCAAAAGAGCTTCTCCGCACATCGAAGTATGTTGGGTTTACTCGTGTAACATTTTTAGCTTGCTACTACACTCAAGTATTTCTCTAGGGAAATAATCAAGAAATAGGGAAAGAGAGAAAGAAGACAAAGCCTTCCCCAAATAAAAAAATTCAGGCTGCCTATTTCAGTTTGTATACCCAATAATAAATATTCTCCTAATTCATTCTATATCATGCTCTGCATATCAATTTATACTTTGTGCCATTGGATGAAAAATAAGCTTGATTTCTAATTCCCAAAATGAGTTACGTTGATTTGTGCTTTGACACTCTAAGCGTCTTGGGTTTGTTGTATCTTTGGGTAAAAGATTCCATCATGGTTCATCATACTTTTACTTCTGATTTTTATAATTTGATTAACTAATCTAATTTCTATGTATGCAGATAATCCAACATCAGAAAAGATGGTAAGACCAAGTTGTTGTTCGTTGTTCCTTAGAAAAAGCATCGGGTTGTGGGTCTTCCACCCTCAAGCTCACATTTCAAACCCTCTACTAAGGTATCTATTTCTCAGAGCGTTGTTCCAAATGTTGAAATTATTGAAAAATTTCATTAATACTCGAAAAAATAACATATTTTTTTAAAATGAGGCTATTTTTTCTTGAATTTAAGACTGGTTTCCTTTGAAAATGGGTTTCTTTTTCCTTTGAATCATCACAATTCACAAAAAATGTCAAGATTATGTTGATTATACATATTACAGACATACATAGGCTCTATAACCTAAGAAAGAATTTTTTTAAGAGAAGTTTATATAGGAATGAGACTGGAATCACAAGGTATTGCTTTCATAGTGAATTGTTAACTTTACTTTAATACTATTATTACTGTACTTGTGATAAATCAGCTTGATTTCATAAAACCAGTACTACATCTTAATGTGTAGTGACTTTAAAAGTTGAAATAACATTCTCCTATATCCCTTTCTATGTAGTATAAATTAGTTTGATTGCACTATAAACCTATACTTGTGATACACCAGCTTGATTTCATAAAACCAGTACTACATCTTAATGTGTAGTGACTTTAAAAGATAATATAACATTCTCCTAAATCCCCTCATATATAGTTTAAACCATTTTGATTGCATTCATGGTATCAGATTGAACAACTATAACTACTTTAAGGCTCCAAAGCAATATGAAAAAGTTAAATACCGTAAATGTAATTTAGATTAAAAAAACATTACATCATACCAAAGCATAATATGAATCTCCTTACAAATAAGAATCATTCCTAATTTAAACCATGCTAAAAAATATAATGAGCCATATGAAGATGCTGTCCTTTCAAAAATCATCAATATGATGCTCTTTCTCCCGTATAAGAACAATTCTAGCTCTCCTCCTTGAAGATGCTGGTTCAGAAAATCATCAAAAAGCTTCCTGCCAAAAAGGTGTTACAATATATCTATATACAATGTAAAATTACAGAAAGACATTAAATAACTATACCTGCTCATTCTCTTTACATGATCGCTTATTATGCCCTAATTGTCTACATTTATCACACTTGATCATTCCATATTTTCTCTTAGCTTTATGAGGATCTCTTCCTTCTGATATAGATTTGTGCCGTTGTTTCTTTGGCCTCCCTGGTGGTCTTCTTAACAATGGGGGCTTCTTAACAATGGGGGCTGTATGAGCTCACTAATAGTTTCAGGGATAAAATTAGGATTCCCCGTTGGATTTATTTCAAACTCATATGCCCTGAAAAAGTACTCTTGTGTAAAATATTTGTGTACATAGAGCTCTGGCCTGCCCTTAATAGATTTTATAGCAGCACATGAATGAACACACGGCACACCTGTCAAGTCCCATAGTCTACAAGTACATGTGTGGTTCTGGAGGTTAACGACAAACCTTTTAGGTTGAAGTGTAACCTCAAATACAACCTTCCCACATGAAATTGCATGCCACTTATTACTTTCCATAATATAGGCATTCAACTTCTTTAATATAGTCGGGCATATTAATCCACCATTGAGGCTCATCTTTTCCTTTTTTTTCCTCATTAATTTCATTGCTTTAATCCTTATATTATCGATAAGGATATCCACATGATTATCTCGAAACTTTTTAATAATTCCATTAAAGCACTCCACGATGCTACTTGAGAACACAAGACACTTAACGTGATTTTCAAATGTGCTCTACTCCATCTCTCAACGCCTATTTGAGTAAGATACTCCCATGCATTATGATCTTTATCCTTAATCTTAGTCATATACCTGTCAAAGTCACACTTTATGGTCGATTTCACAGCTAACCAAAATAGTGACCTAACTTGCTCATCCTTCAATTTTTTTGAAAGTTAGTATACATATGACGTACACAAAAACAATGATATGGAGAAGGGTACATTTCTTCAAGTGCAGCCACAAGACCCTATTAATGAAAAGAAATGTTCTAAGCTATTTTCGAAAACATGTATATATGTAAAAAAAATTAAGAAAAATGTTAAGTGCTTACCTTTCCTTGGTCAGAAATGAATGTCCATCTCTCTCCATGTATAGATGTTTGTCCAATGTCAGCCAGTAACTTGTTTAAAAACCACTGCCATGTCTCTCTAGTCTCAGATGCCACTATTCCATATGCTATAATGAATAGACCATTATTCCCATCAATACCAACTGCTGCAAGAAGTTGACCTCGGTAGTATCCACTCAAATGACATCCATCAATCGCAATCAGTGGTCGACACCCTTTTACAAATCCTTTTTTACAAGCATCTATACATATATATAGTCTATCAAATCTTGATGGCCCAGTCTGATCATGTTTTGGACAAAAAAGTTCTACAGTGGACCCAGGATTAGTCTTAAGTAGCTCCTCACAATAATATGGTATCTTGGAATACTGTTGAGCAACATTTCCATCAAGGGATTGGAGAGCATATGCTCTTACTCTATAAGCCTTTGCTATGCTAATGGTGACATTATATTTCTTACGTATCAGCTCTTTAACTTCCTCACCTGTCATTTTTGGATGTTCTCTGAAGTCTTCAATTGCCATACTGCCCAACCACCTACTATTAGCAAATTTTTCTTTGACTCCCTCCTTTTGACAACTTTGACTTGAGATGAACGTCTTCACCTTGTATGTTTCTAAGTTCCCAACTTTGGAACAATATATAAGCCATGGACAGGGCGGAACACACTTCACTCTACATCTTATCTTATCTTTCTTCACATAAGTCAAGTTATACATATTTTTAATCCCATAACTTCTAACAGCTTCGTAAAAGTCATCAATGGATGCAAATGATTGATCCAAACTGAAGTTGCCCTCTTCATGGCTAATTTGAATATGTCCAGCATCAACCTCGTCTCCACTTTCTGAAGATCCTGAATTAGGAATGCTCTTCAACTCGGTTAAAGATTGTATGGTAACTAGATCAGAGAACTCAGAACATTCAGTTGCCTCGTTCAGGTTATCAACAATTGTATCAACGTATGGTAATGAGTAACCAACTGATAGGTTATCATCGTGACTATTAGATGCATCTAATATCCACTCGTGTATCACATGATCCCCTGCATCCATCTGTAACAAGAATGTGTAAAAAATCAACTATAGATTTCTTAAATTAGAATACTCAATATTGACATATAGCAAACTAAAAACCAAATGTATAAATCTGAAACATGTTATATGATCTATAAGCTATGGTCATTTGCTTTAAGTGTAGAACCCAAACATAAAATAAATATCAATAACCTATTGGCTATTAACTACTATATATATAATTT